CGTCCCCAGGCACCTGGCTCATCCCCAAGGACAGCAAATGAGACCCTTTATGGAGGGAGGCTATGGGCAATGGCGTTGCCGCCGGGAGAGCACCGAGAGCATCACTGCCACCTCCCTCTGTGCCTCCCCAGCTGCTCCCCCCCCACAGCACGGCCCAGGGGACTGGCAGACGTAACTCTTCAAAATCCCCGCTCCCTCGTAAAAAAAGGAAGATGTCTTACCTTGGATTAGTGCAAAAAAGGGAACAGGTTAGTCTTGCCACGTTAGGTACAGCACAAGAACTCCAACCACTGGGTCAGGGCAGCCAAATCCCCCCTGGGCCGCTCGAACGCTCTGCCCACTTCTCCCCTTCTTGAATTACTTAATTTAGCATCATCCAGCAAGAGGATTTAGTTCAACGATTGCTTCTTTCTCCTGCCCAAGGGAAACCGCCTCTGTGGAGTTTCAGAGCCACCAATGCCATTCGGGCATGGCTCTAAACTACGGTGACCTCCGGGGGGGGGCTCCGGGCCAGCGAGAGCTGCACCCATGGGTGCTGCGCGGGACAAACGGGCAGCCTCGAGGCCGGGGGGGGCCCTGCGCTTTCCGAAATAGCTGAGAACAAGATCATGGGTGAAATGAATGGGGGTGCAAGGCTGCGGGCGGCCGGGGAGGGGGTGAAAGCTGCGACAAATAACACCATTTGCAGACTGAATGACTGGGTGCGGATGGACAGGATGGAGAGGGGACGGACAGACGGACGCCAGGGGCAGCGTGATGAGCGCGGCAGGACACCAGCTCGCTGCAAGGCTTGTCACTGGGACACCTCTCCGGGCTATCAGAAAGGCCCCTCTGAGCAGCATCGGTGCACACCAGGCGTTTGCCGATCTCGGACAAACGGAGCTCGGTCTGGCAGGCAGCGGGACCAGGGACCGGCTGCCGGGACAGGCGTTAACTCGGGGCTCCTCCCTGTGACCTGTCCTGCCGCTCCCACCACCCCGGCCCTGCTGGCCCCCTGCCGCGGCCGC